TTTTTGACTGATCAAAACCACCCACTCTCCCTGGAACAACACAGCAAAAGAAACAAAAGTCAGATCTTTGCTTGTCCCTTTGGTGCTCATTTAATAGCAAATCAACTTCAGCTGAGACACAAGAGTTATCAGTACATCACATAAACACCTGTAATTGTGGCCCAGCAAAGAGTAAAGCAGATTTTTTCCCCTTTTCTGTATTTCGTTCTCAATAATACCCTGTGGTAAAGGGGACTAGACTGGAGGATTCTCTATGTAAATATATGGAGCTCTGGATCCTAACCATTTTGGTTAGAATCTGATAAAAGCTATGGGCCATCTCCTAGGAAAATAGAATAAAACACAAACATTCAAAATTGCATAATTCCAGAATATATGGACTCCTCAAAGTCCATGGTTTAACCTAGGGGATCTTTGGATCCTTGTTTAGAACTCATACTTTTGAGCACATGCATACAGTTTCAAACTTTACACCAGGGATCCAATGTAATTCAGACATAGCCCGTGTAGCCTAAGATAAAGGCCATTATCCTGAAATACAGACTTGTACTGTATTTAACAAGAAATAGTTTAATTTTCACAAAATTAAAGTATATCATATTTTTATGACAAAAATGGCTTAGAGCAAACTAGTCACTAAACTTGGGTGAATGGATCAGAAATTACAGATTTAATAAAGTCATTGTACCTCTGATGTTCAGAATTTGGTTGTCCATTTGTTCAAGAGCTACAGACAGTCCATTCATATTTTTACTATTAAATTTATTCACCTATTTCTAGAAAAGGTAAAGAATCAAACCACAGATATGCCTGAAATGCTGTGCCTATATCAACTATGAATCTGATTAGTTAGGTCTCAGAAAAAAAGAGACTCAAAAGCATGAAAGTTTAACACTTTTCTGATTCTTTAGAAAAAGCTTTTGAAGCCAGAAGCAGTGTTGTAGTTGACTTTAGCTGAGATGCTTTAGAGAATTCTGAGTTTTATCACACCATCGCTTTCTTTTTAGCCAAAGGACAAGAGAAGCCAGGCTAAGAATATTTTTATGAGCCTTGACTGTGTCCACAGGCAAACACTAGTCAAGATATTATCTCTTATATATTGTCGATTCTTTGTTTTGCCTTGAAGAAATGCAGACATCAAGATTTCTTCCATGGTGTCTATCATAAAGAGCTAACATTAAGATTGTTTTTAGCCAGGGCTCCAGAAAAATGAAGATCCCTTTCCCTACCACAGTAGTTTTCAATTTTGGCTACCCATTAGAATACCCAAGAAAGTTTAAAAAATCCTAAATATCCAGACTGTACCCAGACCAATGAAATCAGACCCTCTGGGAATGGGGCCCAGGAATCAGTATTTTTAAAAGCTCCCCACATAGGATAACAAGGTTGGGGACCCCAGGAAGTACTAGCTCAGAGGTCTATGGCCTAAGCAGAGGGAGCTATTACTGCACTTGACCTTGGCCCCAAACTCAAACATGGAACTCTTCTGAGCTAGGTAGGAGCAAATCCTTGGACAAGAGGTCTCTCCTGGAACCCAGGACTCAAGCGGGGCAAGCATACACATGCACACACATGTGTACACACCCACCCTCATCTGAGCAGGAGAATCAGATTCTGCCCCAAGGTCCAGGCTTGCTTTCTCAAATACGGTACATGAACTATCTGCCCCAGAATCATCTGGGGTACTTGCTTAAATATACAACTTCAGGGGCTGCACCTTAGACCTTGTAACCAAATTCCAGAAGAGGGTTTGGATATTTACCACTGTACCAGGGTTTCTGATCACACTTCATTTTGAGAACTTCTGAGCTAAAGCCACCCAACACATTCTTCACTGGGCAGCAGAGCCCCGGCCTCCCGAGAGAGAACACAGGAAGGAAGAAAGGAGAGACGGGAAGGTTGCCTCTCCACCCCTCCTGGAAGCTGGAGAGAAGCAGGAAGGACCAAGACACATGGCTGCATTTCTCTCCCAGAAGAGCACTGCCCACTCTTTGATCACTATGGCCTCAACGTCTGGTATTTCTTTTAACGCCTTTACTAGAAACCACGAAAATATCTATTAGCTCATGGTTAAAATCACTTCTTTAAATGTAACTAAACCCTGGTAACACTTTCCTCCTTGGAGCAAAGTAAGGGAGGGAAAGGCAAGCAGAAGCATCTTTCTGACAGCTGTTGATTCTTTAGTGATTATTGTTTCCCAGGTGAAAGTCCTAAATTGCCATCTATTTATAGGCAGTTCCAACTCTAGCAGCAATTGTGTTCCACAAGTCCGTCTGTAAGTCAGACAGTCCAACCCTGAGGATGCATTTCTCTATAGGACCAAGGTCATAAATGGAGGTAAGCCTCCCAGAGCAGCCTATGTAAGTCACAGGGTAACTAAACTATCGATCCTTGGGACCTCACACAGCTCTAGGTTGTGAGAGGAGGGTCTAGGGCACCATACTGAAACGCCCCCCTCGGGTTCCGACTGGGTCTCCAGACAGCCCCCATAGAGTAGCTTCCCGGGGCCCCGCCCACTGCCCTCGCGGCTGCCTCTTCTGATCATGGTTTCTTCTACCTGCTGACTTGCTCAAAGAGATGGCTTTTTCCCTGCCTTGCTTACAAACGCTTTGAAAATTTCTGTGAGTTGGTACCACTGAAAACAGGAACATTTGAGTGACCTAAAAATGGCGGCTACTAAGCCCCTTTGCAGAGTTTGTTTTCACCAGGGCCCCTGGGGAAAGACCTGGGCACATGAGGCACAACTGGGTTGGACAGGTCAGCCACAGAGCCTGACCCGCTGACTCACACCCCTGAGCTTAACTGTTTCTCCAGTGTTCCCATTTGGCTCCCCTGGTACATTCTTTGTCCCATTCCGATCACAGCTAGCTGCCCCATCGGCTAGCCAGTGATTCTGGCTCAAAACTACAAACTGGACCAATCAGTCTCTCCTCCACAGGGATTTGAACTAAGAAGCATGGAAGGAACTGGCCAGTTGGAGTCGGGAACTGCAGTCAGCAGAATCTGTGCATGGGGGCGGCGGTCTGTGCAGGTGGAAGGGATGAGGAACCAGCAAAGGCAGCTGGCCAGTAGGAAGGGGAGAAGTTGGCTGGTGCAGAGAGCAGATGTAGAGACAGGCAGAGACACAGGAGAAGGTGAGAGCTTGAGGCTGGTGAGGGGTTGATGAGAACCGCTGGCCCACGCACCCTGCAATAACATTTCCTCGGTTGCAA